CCATTCTCCATCAATAGGTTTTTATCTTAATCTTCTAGAAAAGCCACGAATAAGCCCACAAAGTTCACAACAAAATTTGCGCTAATTTATTGCATAGGGACTTTTTACTTCTCTATCTTACATCATTTGGAAAGATCTGCCACCTTAAGTAACTTAGCTAAATTTATTTACAACTTGAAAGAATTGGCAAGGAAGGTCATTATTTTTTTTGAATCTGCAAGATTATCACAACAACCTAAGAGAGCAGGTATGATACCTGAGTCTCACATTTACTTTCGGCTCAGTTTTAAAATATCGTTTAGTAACATTTATCCATTTGTTGCACTTTAACAGAATACTGGAATTATCAATATATCTATTCTTCCTTTGATTCCATATCTAGACAATCGTCACTGACTTAATTGAGAAATTTTATCCTGAGGAAAGCAAATATGCTCTAATGAACCCAATCCTTTTTGGCGACTATTGGGCTGCTGGTAGTGAGGAAGATACTATCTACTATGAGGACATTCAAGATTTTGACGTTTCCAAGGCGGTCGTTGAGGAAGTAAGTCAATCCATGATGCGAAGGCAATATTAAATCAATTATTTTCACTATATATATATCACAGATAAACTGTAAGTCTATGTTTTTTATATGAAATTTTACAATCCTTAATTTAACTTGGTCCTAATTCTACATTATTTAACTCCCACGCTACGCACACAACTACGAAATTATTCATAAAGTTGCTCTACAATTATTGTATGGAGGTTGACCGTATTGATATGGTCCTTTTCAACGATGCTCTCATTCATCTTGGAGCCATCCACCGCATTCTCCGCACAGACGCCGGACACGCTCTGCTTATTGGAGTAAGCGGGTCAGGCAAGCATTTACTGGCTCGGCTGGCAGCATTTATTGCAGGCATGACCACCTACGAGATCTCAGTGACGAGGGTCTACCGAGAGACAGAATTTCGGGAAGACCTTAAACGTCTTTTCAATCTAATGTCTGAAAAACCTGATAGTTTTGTATTCCTACTTGGTGACGCACAGATCACAGACGAAGGTAGGGCCTGTGGATATGTTGTTCAGCCACGGTATATGTATTTGATAATAAAGTAATTTCTCTAAAAACTTTTAAAGAAAGATAGATTTAAGTTTAAACCTTAGAGAAGGTAGTCACTTTGTTCAGTACTTGCAGTGTTTAATACAAAAGGTATCATATTCTAGGCTTATGATTCCTTAATGTGGAGACGAAATTTATTTAGAAATACCTTTATTAATCGATGGTTGTATAGAAGTAGTGTGACAGTTTACGTAACTTCATCGTGCTGTCAGGGTGACCTGGTTGCATGCACCTTGTCGGAAGTCCTCTGCTATAGTAGTCATCATTATTTCAAGCGTTTAACCGTGGACTTGGTACATTACCAGACGCTTCGCCGGCATCGCACTCAGTATCGTCAGTGAGTCTGCCACTCTCAGCACCAAATTACAACTCGTCAAAGGGACAAGTGAAGTTAATCACTTGAACAGCCTACTGCCGAACGGTTATGTTATCATTCAACTTTGTGTTCTCATCTCTCTATCTACACCCCAACCTCTTATATCACTCTTTCCCCATCACAATTTCTTGCTTGTTTTTGTTCAACTCCTTGAAAGTAGTGCCCTTTTCGACCGAGTTTAGTGTGGTTTTATCCCAAATGCTGTTTACTTTGCTCCTCTTCTCGATTTACTGATCCAAATTGGGTCTCCTATCCGTATTTGCCTTATGGGGCCCTAGATCCGTTTCTTATTTTTCTACTTGACTGATTTGACTCGGCTCCAATCCAATTATACGTGCTTTCGTAGAGTTTTGGGACTATCATTTGTCGATTTTTATAGCAAAAATACATTTGCTCCATCGAAAATGCTACAAAAGAATTTGCTATGATAAAAGGCCTGGCCTTCCTTGAAATTCACATCTGCCGCGTGGCCCAAGGGCACTCGTGGCAATTCGGCCGAGTTGTGAACGTTTCAATTTCACATTCTGCACTGTTACGGTTCAACTCCCGCTGGGGGTGTTAACAATGCCGATGTTAGGTCGAAACTGCAGTCCACCCTGGAGGAGAACAACTTTAAGGAAAGCAAAGCTATGTGAAATTCAATGCAAACGTCAGCTCTACTCATATCATTGTGGAAAAATTCTACTACCAGTCCTTCATCACCTTAAACAAAATAGAGTGAATGCATCTCATATTATGGATTTACTGGTAGTCTCGAAACTCTACATAAAGAGCGTAGAAAATCACTGCCTGGCTGCCTGAAATCTTGCTACCTATGACCCTTCAATTACAGTCCCAATTTACGTCACATTTGAGGATTTAGAACCGGTGTTGCCTTTGCAAAGACATCTTCTTATCCCTAGGCTTCAGACCCATCGACTTGTTATCCTCTTTTTCATCCGCACCTACATTGTATCTCATTCTTTGGGGCCCTGCGTCCGGCTTAATTCGGAACCGCGGGATTGAAAATGCACCGCTTTCCTTTTTTCACTCCTAATGTCTTTCAAGTTGAGAATCCCATTTTATTCATGACTCCGAAGCCCTGCAAATAGTATCTGAAACAAGTGGTGAAGGTGATTACAATTAAGTAAATCTATTATAGCGACGCACTCTTGGTCGACATTGGAGGATACGGGAGCACAAAATTGTGTGGATGGTTAAATGAGCCATATGAAATGGGGTTGATAGAAAATGAATGTAGCAGTAGAGGGTTGGACAAAGTCTCGGGACGAGAAGGATGACAGAACGGTTAGACAGAAAATTGGTCTAGGGGATTGTCTTTATTTGTCACTTTGATAAGTTGTGCTAACCATAGTGTCTGTTACTGACAATGCCAATTAGAATACCGACGTCACATCTGGGAACGTTGTAATAGGGCGATAATTAGATAAGATGGTTGGGATTAGATAGGACAAAGACAGAGAGAGGAGTGATAGCATACCTGTTTGGCAGAATGGCTTGACTTCGCTTGTCTCTTTGATGGATTGTGGCTTAGTCCTGAAACTGGCAAGGCTCATTGACGATGCCGGCGAAATGTTTGGAAATGTATCAAGTCCATGGTCCAACTCTGAGAATAATGTTAGCTACCATGTGTATAAGATCATAATGCTATCGGGGTAAGATATTGGCATTCCTAATATATGAGTGCTTACGCATTATTGCTTACAAGAAAATAATAGAAGCACTTAATTCGGAGCTAGAGAGTACATTAAATTTATTTACTAAATACGACCTATAGTCAGCTGGCCTTTGAAAAATAGTGATCTAGACTACATAGTTTGTAGTTACATTCAACCCTTTCACTAATTTATAAATATATACGAGTAAGATGTAAGTTTATAGAAGTAAAATAATGTCAATGGAAATTAGCTGTGCATATGAAGTGTATGGAGTACATTCGCGGATTCAGAATCAGGAAATTGGCGAACAGCAAATATTATCGGAAGAGGAAAACCTTGCTGTTTAGAAATAAGAATCAAGTTTTAATAAATCTGCATCCAATGAATATTAATGGAAAAACATCTAAAGTCTTCCTAAAGTGAAACGATTCCAGATTTATCGCCTAGACCCTGCTTCTCATATCCAGTCAAAGCTCAGAACTGATTGAGGTCGCAGGGGAGTGAGCTAAGGACTCATTCGAACAATCCAATTTTAAGGGTTGTTTGACATTGTTTTTGCAACTTGGTCATATTGGTAGGAGGGCTTAGAGTAACGCACCTAGTCAGGAGTTCATTGTATGCATGATAATTTCCAAAGTCGGACCGTGGACGTGGTACATTCCCAGACGTTTCGCCGGCATCGTAGTGAGCATCGTAGTCGGCATTGTCAGTGAGTCTTGCCACTCTTAGCACCACACTACAACTAGTCATAGAGACAAGAGAAGCCGATCCTTTGGAAATTATTTA